TCTACCAGCCCACAAACCACCATTGTTTTTTCAGGATGAAATGGCAGCTCTTGAATCTCTTCATGTCGCCCTTGTCTCAAATTCGGCAATTCTGCTTGTCTACATACCCATTGAACCCGAAATTGGTCTCAACGATGAGTCTAATTTGACTTGAAAACGTGAGATTTTCATGTAGCTTTTCAGGAGTCTATAGAGTGAAGCGATGTCGCTTGGGAATGTCGAGTGGCTTCAGTTTATGTACAAGCTGCATTTTGTACGCTTTCAATTTAAGATCTCGACATAAAATGCGGAAAGTCTTTCCATATGTCAGTTCGAGTTGCTGCTAACCAGCCCGAATCAATGTTGACAATAAGTTGAAAGAAGCGCGCGAAACACATTCTTTACAGAAAGTGAATTTTTGTTCATAAAATTGAACGATTTTTGCAGCTCTGAATGAGTTATCCCCAAAACATGCGTTCTGGACACATCAACGACCTCTTCAGACCTTTCGCAGGTGTCCAAACAACGTTGACTTCTTAGCTTAGTTTTTCTTAGAGAATAAAAATAAGTCATTACCATTGTCGTTCTCTTTTCAGCGGTTGGTTTTCCTGATTTCTTCAAAGGTAATCGGCAAAAAAAAATAATTGTATACCATTCAGAATTTACTCTTTTGCGTGTTTCTAGTGCTATAGTTTCGATATGATCTATTTCTTCCAAAATATCCCAGCAACCATTTGTGTAGAAGTGCTGGGATATTTGTTTACTCTCGGGCTTATGCGCGTAAATCCATAACTATGTTTCGAGGTACCAGTATCGTAAATTTTTAAACCGTTTGTCAATACTGAATGTATGCTAGTCCCACTAATGACTAGCAGTTGTATCAATCTCAGGATAGAATAAATGACGTTATTGCAATATCAGTTGCCGCACTGCATGAGTAGTTTTCGGAGTAACAAGTGCTTATGGACAACCTACGTGATCTACTATCTCGATTAGATTCATCAGGTCATCATGGAGTTTTATTGCCAACAATTAAATTAAATTCACCGATGTAATGTTTTTAAGCTAATAAACGTCGAATATTGTTAAAAATAATCGGGATTTAATTATGTATTTTCGCCAAAATGAACGTATGTCAAAACATAGTAAATACTTTATTTAAAATATTATATCAAAAATTTCAAACTTTACGATAAAGTTCTTAGTTGCCAGGTTGCAACACTAGGACTACCAAATTCCAAAATACATACCTACATATCGTCACCTGAAATCCAAAATAACGTAACATCAAAAAATTCGAAATTGAGTGTTTTATTGTTTACGCTTCACTACTTCAAATTACATATGTTCAACATTTTCCGGTTCTGTGGTCGGATATAAACCACTTTTAACCAATATTAAAATTCTGTTTCACTCATGTGCTATTTTATTTCGTGTTTCATTAAGGTCACTGTAAGTTTCCGAAAATGTGGTTACGTTATTTTCCATTTCAGGTGACGATATACTTTATAAAGTCTCGAAAAAATTTTTTTTTTTTTTTTGGGTGTTACAGACATTGCGGAAAACTTAATTTACCCTATTCAAGGTATAAATGTAAAGCACTTTTAAAAAACCTATCATTTTTCGTCTACTCCTATTCCTTCACAGACCATTGATGGAATAATTAATCTATTTGTCGCCGTGTGCAATTTTGAACAACTCGGGTAATCTAAAACGAATTCACAACACAGTTTGGCTGCTAAATCCCGCATTATTGCATGAACTAAAAACACTTTGCTTTTATTTTGGACGCGATGTCCAATTGGCTACACAATGTATGTTCGAGGTAATCGATGAAGATAATAGATAGGTATACGGAAAAGACATTCAACTTTCTTTTCTTTTGGTCGTCCACTGCGTTCAGCGTATTCGGTGCCCATTTCACAAGGTACTATGTCTTTGATGGTTTATTTTCTTGGGATAGTGTCCGGAAACACATCATGAAGCAAATTTTTGGTTTCAACTGTATTTGTGCTTCTCAAAAAGGAATTTTTACCAACGTGAAATTACTTTTTATGCATTATTTCACAATAACAAAAGTTGATTCACTCAAAACGATATAATTCACAAACTAATGATCTGACAGTTGTGAAATTTATACACACGCCTTTTGAAGGTTAGAGCTAATTAAAAATCATATGGATTTAACTCTAGTAGCGCTATTTATCGGTCATATCCGGGAACTTTCTATGGACTTGTTAGCTTAGTGATCTGTTCTAAAGCTGCGCTGTTATCTCCACTTTAAAATGTTTTGTGCGTTATAAAATGCGTACTTTTTGTGTTATTTTATGAGGTTACCATCGAGGTTCATACACCAAATTCGTAATACAATTTGTCCTTTGCTTCAAAATTAGCCCCGGTATTAGAAATTGCCTTTTATATCCGCTTAATTTTTGTAATCTGAGGATTGAAAAATCGTCCTTGGTAATTTGGTTAATTGGTTATTTGTAACAATATGCATTGCTGAATGAAGCATTCGTTTTTGCGACATTTAAGACATAGGCGTAAAACAGTTAATTTCTCATTTACATATCTTCACACTTTGGATTTTTTACTCAGTTTTTTGAAAATATCAAAGCTCGTCACTAAAAATTCATTATCTTCCTAACATATTCTGTGCCAACGGTTTTGCTCATGGCTTTGGAGGGATCTTTGTCGAAGCACATACATAACCTCTATTCCAGTGACGCCTTATAGACACCATATAGACGAAAACACATAAATGTCATTATTGTTCAAGTGGTTTCGACTACAATAAAGGCGTATTTTTAATTTTTATATACAGTTATACAAAATTTTTTCAATTAACTAACAATCCGCCAGTTTCAAGCTTGTAAAACTTATGCCTTTCATTTTTAGTGTGCAAAAGTTTTGTAAAGAATTCAATTTCGAAATTCACAGCGATGTTAAAAGCAACAATGCTTTGTCCCCCTTCATGTTGCTTCATTTGATCCGCTGAGAGAAAGCTACTCCAAAACAATTTCTTGGTTTTGACGCTCATTGCTTCGTGGCAAGCACTTCAACCCACGACCAGCTCGGCGGCGTTTATGGCCTTAATGTAGACGCTAATAAAAGAGAAGTACTGCAAAATCAAAAAGCGCAGCAACAATAACATTCGTAATTCGGCAAATTATGACAGACACCAGAAGCCACCAGCACCACCAAAACAACTGAAATAAGACAATGCAACAGAAGTGAACAATCGCATAAAACCGCATTAATGGCACAGACTGTTGCGGCTGTGGCTGCTGTGAAGTCGCAGCCCTTATAATAAATGCGGCCACAACTACAGGTTGCAGACCAAGTCATCTCCAATGCATAGTCTTTCACTCCATTTCGTAACTGCCACGCCGCCGAGACAAACTGACTAGAACGGTAGCGCGCGAAGCGGGGATTATTGCTAGCTTTGTGGATGCAGATGACAAAGCAGCGAAGCATCTAATGAATGTCAACAACTTTAGTCACAATGCAAATAGCAAGCGATAACAAGAATGCGGGAAGTATGTGGTGTTGATTCTAATTTTCGTATAGCACAGCCATCAAGTGGAAAGTGCTCCTTTTGTTGGAATGGAAGTTTTCAGATAAAAGGCAGATGTCATCTCTCTACTACAAGTTTTTCCTTGAATTTTAGCAACCTTAAGTCCACTTTACCTCTTAACAGAATACTTCAAGTGAAGACATGTAGTTTCAATATATATAATCATAGAAGAGAATCCAAGCCATAATTAAGTCAGGCTTTCAAGTTACCGATTTTTGCATCCAATGGGTAATTCGAACAACCATTGTTCAGTTTCGCACCATACTTACTCTAGTGAATAATGCGAACCTACAGAGAGGACATACAGTAATGTCGCGCTATTTTTAGAGCTGTTTCCATCCACTTTATGGAAGATTTTGCTTTAAGATCTTGATTATTGGGTTTACAAGTCCAACTGGTTCGAGAATTAAAGCCGAACGATCATCAAGGGGTATAAAACAAGATGGTCACCGATCCCAATTTTTACAAAATAAAAATTTTGCTCAGCGATTTTGGTTGAACGGGATTTGATTAATAAACAGAATTGTCGAATTTGGTGCGAAGGGAATTTACAAGCTATTGTTGAGACGCGGTTACATATATGCTCAAAAAGTCTCGGTTTGGTTTGGATGTGCTCTATGAGCAGAGATTATAGCAGAGATTATCATTGGTCCATATTTTTTCAAAAATGAAGTCAGCAGTAGTGTTACAGTCAATGAGGAATGCTATAGAGCCATGATTAATGGCTGTTTGTGTATAAACTGGAGTATGTTAACACGGACGAGCTTCCAACAAGACGACGCTACATGCTGTACAACCAACAAAAGTATCAATTAATTGAAGTAAACTATTGGTGAGCGCGTTATCTCGTGCCGAGGATTTGTCGATGCCGGTTTTGCGACATGGAACAGGAAAATCCAAAACACCTGATTCTGGACTGGACTGGACCAGTAATTTGCAGAAGCAGGTTAGAAGACCTAGGTTCCATCTCCATGGATAGAGATCGCATCACCTCAGTCGCACCCAGCAGTCTCCTGGAATTGTTCAGGATGCTGGACTTTGATGACCATATATGTTATAGACGAAGGCACAATAGACCATAGGTCGCAGTGCAAATTTACTATCTATAGCCTCCAAGATCATGACAGTGATTTAATCCCGCTGGTCTATTTTTTTTTTAGAGTTATGTAGCGTCGCTTGACGTCTTGAAAAATAATATTTCGCGCCTTATTTCTGACTTACAGCCTAAAATCCTGCAGAAAAGTGGTCAAAAATGGGACCTCTCGACCAAAAATCATTCAATATAATTCTTAAAACATAATGGGAAACCCTTATCTTTTCTATAAAGCTAAGTTCTTGACCTTAACATTAATTTATAAGCGTTTCATTTCTTCTTAAAAATCATATGTTTAATAACAACATGCTTTACCTTTCATCTCACATACAAATCCGTTACTTTTCGCAGGCTGCAATCGTACGTACTATGGAGACATCGGCTTAACCTACTCTCTGGAGCTGTACCGACCCAAGCAGGACCGACTACCGTACGTGTGTGTATTGACTTTCACAGCCGCTGGTGGTCAACATGGCGACGTGGTTCAGGTCTGTATAAAACAACTAATTTATTGGTAAATTCTAATATTTATTAGGTAGTTGTTAAGCAAAAGAATATACTGGACGGCAATAAGAAAAAACTCTTTATAATATTTACACAGAATCCCATAATCGTCAACAGAAAACACATCGTAGAAAAGTAGCTGTGCTGTTATGCTCTCCGTTATAATACAAGTATTTTACAATTTTCAGCCAGCTTTAAAAAATTTAAGATTTCCAAACCAATACAAAGCGGAAGCTTGCTGCTTTCGTTGTCATTTTTAGCCTTCGTATTTGTGCATGCTTTTTCCCAAGCAAATCGCTCCGGCGCCAAACAACCGCTGAAATGCGCGAATCATGAGTGAGAGGGCAGGGTTGAACTGGGGTGTATGAGTGTTTTATGATGTTCCACGAAAATTTGCATGTTTCACAAATTTTTGGCAGAAAAGTGTGCTGCAAACAATTTAAACGCATACAAGCTCCCGCTTTTATTCGCACACATTTTTGCATGCCAAAAGTTGAGGCATTACCTTTGAGATAAAATTATGCAAATCATTTTATGAAAATTATGGCGCAAAAAGCTTTGGGGAGACCACAACAAAGAAAGAATTTTTGCGAGCGATTAAATGTATTTTATTTATTCATGCGGATGTATGTATGTGTGTGTGTGTGTGGAGGCACAGGAAGGAAGGAATCCAATAATTTATGGCAAAATATTTGGTAAATAAATTCAAGTGCAATAAAATTGTTTTATATTTCTCATGGATTTACTTGTTTTGATAGAGAAATTTGACGTCAGATTATATAATCGTGCTTACACCCACATGTAGATTATATTATTGTTTTTATTCATAAATTTGTTGTAGTATTAGTAATAAGAATGTTCTTTAGCACCTTGGTTATGGCTACTTGAATAGCGGGGTATTCTCATGAAATACTCCTTTCATGTTCGTTTTTAGATTTTCAAATGAAATATCGCCACTTGGTGCTAAATCAGATGAATGCAGAGGTCAGTAGATGGGAGATATCCATTTTTTCAGTAAAAACTGGTTCACATTTTGGGTCTTCACTAAACTCATGTGAAAGAAAATTCGGAAAGAAAGGTGTGTGCTTTTACCAAAACCTTCAATATGGCTAGATTAGATTAAGAGGTCGATCCTACCAGTTATCTCCACTTGGACTTTTTAGAGGACCGGTCCATTGTATTATCTCAAACTCTTATATAATAGCTCATAAGACCCTCGCAAATCGATAAAGCGCTTTGAGCTTGCCACAAAGGTTTTTGAGCCTATCACAAAGGTTTTTGAGATGGCTAACATTAGTTTCTACCAAGTTTTCTGGTTCAGTGAAGGTTACAGTGCCGATATGTTTCAACCTCAGTCTAGCAAAGGCTGAACCTCACCCTCTTATAAACAACCTTGACAACTTGCATCCGTTAAGGGGGTACAGTTACTTTAGTGACGCAGTATCCAACGTACTAATAAATGACTTAGACTGGCTGAAATTTTACTCACTTTTTTAAGCGCGTTTTTCTCGAAACTACCTTTTTCCACACGATACCGGCATTATCTCAAGTTCTATACAACCGATTTACTTAAAATTTTGTGTGAACCCCCTTTATATAATCCTTTATCGTTCCTACCAGCATCGTGTCACAATTTTTGTTTTTAATATTTAAAAAAAAATTCAGGAATTTAAAAAAAGGCGTAAAAAATGATTTTTATTTTCAGGCAGTCGCCATTTTTCAAAACAAATTTTTTTTCAGACCACCAGGATGCGCCATTTTTTTTTACACCTATCCTAACCTAACCTAACCTGTCGACTCATCTGTTAAAAAGTACACTGCGCCTATTCTATAGCGACTTCTCCCCATCCATACAACGGTATGTGATAAGAAAAAAGCAGCGAATAATAGCCTTTGTGACACAGCAATCCAAATTTTCAGGAATCCAATTGATGGAGAGAATTTCAGCGTGTTATTTTTCGAACCCCTACATATGCCCAGCTTCCCTGAATCTTAGGGCGTACTTCGCTGCTCGCACGATCCACGATCGTCAACGCAGGCGTCCTCCAAGTTCTTTAAGTAGGTGGTTAACTACCCAGATCCAAGTGGTGAAAGTACTCCAACCTGCGGGGGCCCTTATTAATCTTTCGGAATTTCTTTGCACTACCTCACTCCGCCTTGACCGTTTTGATGAAGAGAAGCCTACATATGAGGTGCTCGAGAAAGATACATAGTAGCAAGTTTCTTGTTCGTTAGGATTCCCTTCAGCCATGATATTACATTGTGCGAAGCAATGTCGACCGTCCAGCCTTTGATAAAGTTATACTAGGCATTTTCCAATGTTTGCTACAACGTTTTCTACAGAAACGAGGATAAGCTAAAGAATCTGGAAACTTTGGAACCCACGTCAGAGCTCTTTCCGGCCTTCGCTATAAACACTACCTCAACCGGTTTCGAGGGATTCGGAACGTAGTCTAATCTCAAACAGTTTACGTAGATCAGTCAACTGCATGACACCTTGAGTCTGAATGAATTCAACATACAAGTAATGTGCCCTTTCGAAGCACCCCCAGCGGCACTTTTTCAGCGAAATAGTTCAACGTCTCCTCGCCTTTCATGGTCCAGCCTTCATCATTTCATAAATAACCCAGTGGAGTGAACTTTGAGGACTCATGAAAGCCCTTCACTTCGGTAGAGGGCTCTTCGCGAGTTTCTTTTTTCTTTTTTTTTTTTACTCGTACTTGCAGCCCTGACTTGTACAGTGCCCAATCGTCACTAAAGCCAATTCTATGGGCTTTGTTGAAGTGTCCGCTGCTCGAAGACCTGTTTTCCGTTAGCTTCATTATCCACTAAAAAGGTTTTTCTTTACCTCCCTGAGTTTTCAAAGGTCAATAGCTTTCAAGAACACTCCTATACACAGCGCTGAAAACTTCGCCGAGCACTCATTAATCGAACCCGCAGATACAGGTCTATGTCGGACGGGGTTGGAAAAGCTCATAAAAGCTTCCAGCAATACAGGTCGGAATTGACATTTCTGAAGTTTGTATACGTTATGTATTCTGTTCGCAACGCTGAAACAAATATATCTGTGATCAGGAAAGGAAAAGTAGTCTAGAAATCTTTATTCTAAGTTCAAGGGAATTCTCTAGAGACTAGCGTAACATCAAAAGTTTACGCATAGCTATCAGTCACGAAAGTGGGAAAGTTTCCACTATTACAAATATAGAGTTGACTTCCGAGCTTATTATTACCGAGCTTCTTCTTCGCTTGATCTCTGCCAGAGCTCTACTCACTAGCTACACCTCGTCGTCATGCGGCATATAGGCCGAGATAAACCAGAGTTCTCCTCTCAATTTTACCATAAATTATTGAACAATCTCGATAAAATTCTCACTGCAAAACTTGTTTCAATATGCGAGTTTTTTATTACTAAAGTTAGTTTTATAGCCGTAAACGAGAAAATTTTAAAACCATTTATATCTCACTCAATCTCACTTATTAAGGGCTAAGGCTCGAATAACTTCTTTTGATTGTAAAGTTAAGTTTGGGTTTCTTGGAGTCGGAGTCGGTCTGCTGCTCAGGAGCTTTTTGCAGTCCCGAATTGGGTTCCACATATACTTGGCAATCACATATCGGATCAATGTCAGTTTTATTTTGACTAGTTTCATAGACCTTTCCGTCTGATATGTGTGACTCTAATGCAAATACCGTAGTGTTAGCTTTCAAAGCCGTAGCGATATATTCGCGCATAGTTTTTTCGATAACCTCGACTCTTTGTTCAAAAACATTTTGTAATGCGACCACGTCACAACGGTCTACCTTAGTATCTAATATATCCTGCAAATCATCCATAGCATTCATAAACTCATTGCGATACATTGTCAGCTCTACATCCATTTCCAGAATACGCATCATAACCGAGTCTTTTTGACTAATAGTTTTCAAATGTTGTTCCATGAACTCCAACCATTTCATGAACTCAATTTCGAAGTCTTCCAATTTTTTAGACATGGCTTGTAAGTGCTTATATACAGGCAAAATAGTGTGTTCCAAAATTATATGTTTGAATTTAGTGTCAGCAATAAAGTTGCATATATCTTTCATATCTGGATCACAGGTGGAACAAAAGTGTTCCCTGCCGAAAATCGTCGAATTTGAAATTGAATTATTAGAGCCTCTTACCAACTGATCACGCTGTACTTCTTCCAAGTGTTTGTCTATTTGTGCTTCCAAATCCTTCACCGTAATTTCTAGTTGACTCAAGCAATCAAATTGTTTTATCGCCTTCATTTGGTTACTTTCAAACGCAAGCGGTGAAATGGAGGACTCCTGCAGGAGCTTTTCAATAACCATTGCGTCATGACCACTTATCGAGATCTTTTCGTTTTCACATCCTAATTTCTGCAGTAGTAAGTCGAGCAAACTATGCAGCACAATTGTGTTAACCCCGGTTATTGTTTCAGTTCCCAAGGCGATCTGAAGCAGGTCTTCCAAAGACAGCACTAATTCTGCAGTTTTATCCATTTAAGCGAACCAAAACTTTATGATTCCTATGATAAGTTCGCGAATGATTAGATTACTAGTGTTGTGTGTCTACAAACAAAACAAGCAGCATTAAAAATTTCAGAAAAAACATTTCCCACTTTTTTTTTTTTTTTTTTTTTTAATGAAAGCCTATTGTCATACTCGTATAATACATGATTCTTGACTTTTATGTTTTATGAAAGCAAGTGCTTTCCGGAGATATTTTCCAGCAGCATTTGTTCGCTACTGTCTCCGAGAGGGCTTTTTCTTCTTTATTTGTACCCGGTTATAGCTGAGTTTACAACAACGCGTAAATCGTTCTTACTTCACGCTGTTTTTCTGCAATTGAAGATTCAATGTATAGTCAGGTCCTTCCCCACCTAGTCTTCTCAGCGGAGTGGAGGTCTTTCTCTTCCTTCGCTTCCCCCAACGGATACTACGTAAATTGCTTTCAAAGATGGACTGTTTTCATCCATTCGGACGACATAATCTCCAATGTAGCCGCTGTCTCTTAATTCGCTTAACTATGTCAATGTCTCCGTATACCTCGTACAGCGCATCGTCCCATCGACTGCGGTATTCGCCATTCCCAATGCGCAAAGGACCATAAATCTTCCACAGAACCTTTCTCTCGAAAACTTGTAACACTGAGTTATCAGATATTGTCGGGGATGATGGGATGATGAGTGGATTGTAGAGTTTGGTTTTTGTTCGTTGAGAGAGGACTTTACTTTACTACTCAGTCCGAAGTAGCACCTGTTGGTGTGTCGATTCTTTTTTCAAGGCTCTTTTCCAAGATTTGGCGCATGGTAATATCTGATCAGCTGTTGATTTCCCAGGTCGAAAGTTAACAAGGTCCAATTAGTGGGCTTTAATCTTTCACACAAAACGTTCGATAGAACCTCATAAGCGAAGTTGAGGAGGCTTACTTTTGCTTCCCCAAGTTTGGCGTTTGGTGGGCATTGTGGTATGGCGACATAATTGGGCATTATTTTTTCTTAAATGTGGCAGGAAATGTCTTGGCATAAAAGTAGTCTGTATAACCAAAAAAACAGGGCCCAGCTTATAATTTTGTATCACTTCGATGGACTAAAGAAATTTGCGAAGTTTCTTCGACTAAACTAGCATTACTTTGGAAGGCGGTAATATTTGCAACAAATTTGTCTTTCTAATTAGAAGTTTTAATATCCTAGCAACTTAATTTCATCTAACAAAAGAGGTGCTTATGTGAAAAACCACAACTTGCAGAACCCACTTAAAGCGCCACTGATACCAGCCATCAACCAAGTATGCCACTCCGTTGCAAATGGCGAACGTGCAACATACTGACAGATGGGTGTTAACATCAAACGCCAGCCGAGCTAACAAACGAGCTGCTCTCCCAGCAAACGCCAAGTGGCACACGCATACACATGCATGCATGTGTGTGTGTGAATATGTGTGGAAATGTAATATTTTCCAGAATGCTGCACTTCAACGGGTGAATATTTCACTCAATGTCCGATTGTTTGTGCAAGTGTTGCACGCGTAGCCGCAGATATGCTGCAATACGTCCACTTCGCACTCACTCAACATACACGCCATTATTCACACCTAAAATGGGAATTTATTTGTTTCGGCGCGGCGAAAGCCCCTCAACTATTAGGTACTCCATAGTACTACCTTCGTACCTGACGTTGAGTTGTTTGCCTTTTTCAACAAACTGCAATATGTTCTCGCACACAGGCATAAGTGGCTGCGTCCCAGTGTATTATTGCCACTGGCTGCGGGTAATTTCCCCAGTCGGCAACTAATCCGATTCTACCCTTTATTCATGCTAAGTCTGCAGCATTTTCAATAAATAAGAAACTTTTCATCCATTTTTCAACAACCTCAAACACCTTATTATCAGTCTTCTGCAATGCAGAGAAACCATTGGCAAACTAGGGGCCTCTCACCGAAAGTAGTCCGATGTCTCTACAATACTATAGTCAAGCCCATTAAATGAAGGAGGGTCCTAGAAAACACCACACTTGCAAGGAAGCTCGATATAGTACACTAAAGTTCACTACAACCATGAATGGTGTGAAAGTGAATGGCCGCGAAAGTTGCTATCAGGCTCAGGGAATCTGGGTTTCTAAGTGAACCCATGGCTAATAATTTGGATATCCTTATATTAGACCCTTGAAATCATGTCGCCCAGCTTGGCGACTCCCCTCTGCCCACATTCCTGCGAGGAAGTTGCGTATGGCTAGAAGCCATTAGAGGAGAGGACTAGTGAGCTTTTTTACGAATGGGTCAAAACTTGTAGGTAAGATTGTGGAGGCGTATATTCTCAGGAACTCTCTAACAACTTCAATTTCGGACTTTCTGAATATCCACCCTCATATCAGAACGACTATACTAGCCTTGAGCTCACTAACGGTACGTTGAAGGCTGATTGGGAAACGCCCAACCTCGTTATCAAGGACAGCGAGTCACTTTGTAATAATAATTGTGTGAATGCGAGGCTTTAGGGGAATCGTTGGTAACTGTGAAGCTGATAAGACAACAAAGGAGAGGCACCCTACCCCAGCTATCAGTAGAATAGAAACGGATCGGTGCTCGCCACTCCTCGTGTTTGTGTGTACTGGATGCCTGGGCTTCGCGAGAACCTGTCCAGCGCTAAGCTAACATCGGTTCACGCACTTTTGCAAGATCCTTGAGAGCTCTTCGTTTTCAGTAAGGCTATCCTCTCCCTATTTGAAATATCAGAGTCTATGCTATAAGGTTTGAGGACCTTACCAGAAGCTGCATAGACGAAGACGTGGTATTATCTCAGCCCTTCCTTCCTGATTGTGCCGCGTTTGCGAAATCAAGTCTTAAGTACTTGGGAACTCACACTTCCAGAGATCTTACCGAACTGCGTAGTAATTTAAGGGATGAGCAAATGCTTAATGGCCACAAGTCGCTTTAGTCCCTTTTAAGTTCGAATTATAGGAGTTCTATTTTTATGCCAACATAAAGGACGACCTTTAAATCAGCGATCAGACCTAACCTAACCTATATCCAACACATGACTTGGAATAAGAAAAGTTTTGCTCGACTCGAAATGACAGCTGAGGAAAAATACCTTAAGTTAATTTATGAGAGGAAGAAAATTAACTGCGTGTACATTACAAAAAATGGAGAATATGAATCACGCGTCGAGAAAATGCTTGCATGTCACATAAATTAAAAATAAATTTTTATTTAGACTTATTTCTTCTCAGCTGCAGTAAAAAGCCTGCAAAAGCGGACCACATCTACTTCCTACATGTTCTATACAGGCAGCTTGGTTTAGCCGTACACCCTTCAGCCTAAATGGCTCAAACTACTTTACGCACACCTTCATCATCAATTTTTGTTGACTCACATGCTTTGTTTTGCAGGTAACACTTGATAGCTTCACAATTGGACGCTTCACCTCGTATCTGCATGACGGTTGTCCGGATGGTTACATGCAAATCGCCGAATCGGCGCGCACTCCCATCGGCGGCATGTGGTGCGGCACATCCTGGGGCCCAGTGTTATTCTACAGCGAAACCAGATCATTGATTTTCACAATCAAATTAAATAAGTAAGTAGATATTTTTCTTTTCTTTTTTACGACTAATGTTAAAATCCCTTTTCGGGAGCCTTTAGCGACATCTACCGCGCTCTCTTTCTCGTTCTCTCTCTTTTCATTTAATATACTTGAAATCATTTGCAATGAGACAAATTGAAATTACAAACGCAACACTAATTCGTACTAAAAACTTTTCGCTAACAATCCGAACAAGCATGGAAGTACCAGTTACTCGATTGCATTTCATTTTCATCTGCCTGTATTCATTTTCTTACTATTGTAACTAAGCTGTTTTTTCTTCGAATTCCATTCAATTCTTTGCCATTTTCATTCTTTTATTTCCATATCTGCGCCACGGACAATGCCAACGTTATTGTTGCCTCCACCATACGAACCGACGCCACTGCAAATCCCCGTACGCTACACGGCCCATTGGCATACTACCCAACTGACGCTGTTGCTGTCACTGTCGCTACATCCGTTTGTCACAGGCTGGCGCGGGACCAAAGCGGCTACAATTTCGACTTTCGCATCAGATACAAGGTTCTGTCGAAGGACAGTTCAGTGACGCGCTATGGCGGCATCAAGCTCGAAGGTAAACAGCAACAAATACAATAGCAATAATACGAACACTTTGTCGTCTGCGTTGCCAACCAGCCACCAACATAACGGGCCACCCACCCACTAACGCTCAGCTGCTTCTCATCCGTCTGCGCTTCCTGCATTGTTTTGCTTCCTCTCCACTGTGTTTCTCCAGTGAACTTTTCTCCACTTCGCTGGTTGGCTGCGTGGGTCTCTATGGGTTAAATGGATTTGAAATAAGCAAACACTGAGATTAACAAAAAAATTAAAATAAACCTAATACATTCAGTTGTGGAAACACTGTATCACGTACCCACTCACTCACACACACTCCGAAAAAAGTAAAAAAAAATACTCAAATAACTAACAAAAGTTGAAAATAGTGAAACTTTTAAAATGTGTAACTTTTAACAACATATTTGGGCTACACAAAAACGAAAAGCGTTGATAGTTGGTAAACAGGACGACAAACTTTTTCATAGAAAATATTTCGTTTTATTTTTCCTATAAATATATTTTCGTATTGCTATGCTCATAGTTTGTAGTAACAAGTCTATCCGTGTGTATAGTTTATTATAGCATTAGAGCGCTTAAGCTTGAGTTCCAAAAATGAAGCAAAATTGTTGATTTGCCCTGTTTATGTGGGAGGAAAGCAAATATTTTACTTTTCATTTTTTTTATTTTTTTACCCAAAGTGTCTTACAATCATAAATGCGCGACGGAAATAAGCCCTACTATATGCAGTCGGCTATGAACGTTAGGCGAAGACGAAGTTTTGAGGGGATTTTAATAAGCCGAGTCCTTGAAAGCCACTAACAACAGTTGCCGATATCATATCTGAAATAAAGATTTTGGCAGCAAGTTTAGAAAAACCTGAGAGTCATTACACGTATATGTGTCGTAATGTCAAAACTTTAGCGTTAAGACATCCATTTCGAAGTCAAAAGAGGTTCAAAGGGGTCAAAATCATTCCAAGACATGGTTGACTCAGGTTATATTTTACACGAAGCTTAGAGGTTAAAGAAAACTGTATAGAAATTTATAAATCATTTCGGAATACAAAGCTGACTTAATTTACAACTGTGATCAAATTTAAAGTTGAATTTTATCCATTTCATCTCCTTCAAAGTAGTCTCCTCCCGCTGCAATGCACTTACGAATTTTCCAGTCATCATAGCACTGAAAAAATCCTCCGTCGTGATGGCCATCAGAGCGTTCTTCGATTCGGCTTTTATATCCTCAATTGAGTCAAAACGGTGTGCGTTTTTGCTGAATAGCCAGAAGTTACACGAAGGTAAATTAGGCGATATTACTTGAAAATGTGACGAAATGATCACAGTAGTAAAACCAAATCTTTAGGAATTAAAGAGCAAGAAAAACCTTCAACCGAAGATAATATAATACTCACAAATATAAAGAATTCTTACAAGAACTTGATTCCGATCTTTCAGTTTGTAGGGCAGTTATACGCACTACTGATTCGATCTGAACAATTTCTTCTGAGATTACGTCAAGAGTTTACATGGGTTTCCTGGCGTAAAAAACGGCTAAATTTCAAAAAAAAAAATGCTCAGATACAAAATTAAATATTTTATTAGAATTTTTTTCATTACAAACGTACAATATAAACAAACACTCGGAAGAAGATGTATCCGTGTTTGCAGGATAACTCCTTACAGGGTTATCCAAAGTGAGAAATACGTGTTTTCGTTAAAACTGTAACTTAGAACTTAGATGAAGAAAAAACAACTGAAAATTTTGACAGACGTTATTGCATACAAATTTCAATTTAAGTGAAAATTTCGCGACATTATTTTTTCAAATATTGTAATCGAAAACAAGACATCCTTCCGCCAAGTCTTTAAAAATTTTATCTCAAAGATCTATAAAATTTCATGAAGATCGGTTGAGTAGTTCTTCTTCTAGTCGAGAAATCTTGCCAACCGACTTCAAAAGCACAATTTCTAGAAAAACGCGTTTAAACGCGTACTTAACCTAGCTAACCTCAAGCGCACAAGTTCTGTATCTCCGTAACTATTACTCAAATGATCTTGAAAACTTAGGAATTCTAAAGATGTTGTAGAATTTAATAAGACAATCACAAACGATTTTTCGAAACCCGTCAAGCCATGTAACCCCTTAGATAATAATCTCTGTCAAATTTCGTGAAGATATCTCATCAAATGGAAAAGTTTTCCATACAAGCACTTGATTCCGATCGTTCAGCTTGCATTGCAGCTGTATGCTTTAGTTTCCCGATATCGGCTGTTTTTTTATGTCAATAACTTACAAACTGAGCGTCTAGTTCGCTTATATACAGACGGACCCACAGACGGATGTGGCTAAATCGACTCAGTCATCACGCTGATCTTAATGTTATATCTCTACACGTCATAGAGTATCCAATTTTTCCTTTTGGGCGTTATCTACGTCATGGCAAACTTAGTCTAGTCTCTTCAGGATATAAAGTATAAAGTTCTCTCAGAAGTGTGGATCTATCTGCAATGTGATAACATCACCAGTTCTTGTCTAATCCCAAAATTAGGTAAAAGTTGAATATCGAAATAGTTTTTGAATCTAGCGCCCCTTGGCGGCGCCATTATATGTCGACTGGTTCGTTAGAATCCGCTGTAAGTATCAGGATGTTTGTGATTTGTAATGTTGGCTCGAAAATGAGCTTTGAGTAAAGAGACAACATTAAATTTTGTTTTAAAATTAGTAGAACTTTTACTGAAACGTTTCAATTGATGAAACAAGTTTATGGCTATGATTGGCTATCCCGAGCAGAGTGTACGACTGGTTTCAACATTTTGAAAGTGGTCGTGAAAACATAAGTGACGATAAACATATGGGCCAATCAAAATTCCGGAAATTCCATTGAAACTGTGCGTGAATTCATCAAAAATCAGCCGAAATCATCATTGAAATTCATGGAAATAGAATTGAACATCTCCAAAACATCGGTTTATCGCATTTTGACCGAACATTAGGGCTTAGGAAAGTGTATACACGATTTGTTCCGCACAAATTGACTGACGCCCAAAAATTGCTCAGAGTCCAACATTCGAGGGACGATTATTTGGCCAAAAATCACATTTTAACCATTAACCACTTCCCGTATTCACCTGATATGGCACCGAACGACTTCCTCATTTTCGAAAAAATGCATTTGCCCATATCGACCAACGAGCTAAAACACTCGTTCGAATGCTTTTGAACCCTGCAAAAAGCTGTATTGAAGCAGATGGAGATTATTTTCAATAAAATAAATTGCTTTTGGCGAAAAAACCATTTGTTCCCTTTTTTTTTCAAAATCCTGTTTACTTAGGAAACCAACTTGTATAACGATTTTCAAACTTCAAGGTGACTTTAACCGCCTATATCGGCCAATATGTGAGTTATCTGAATAAAATTGAGAGAACATGTTTTCCTTATAACGGTACATATTTGTGCTTAGAATGAATAAAATTGGTGACAACTCCCCTTAGACTTTAATCCTGGCAAGTTACAAGAGGATAAAATATTCAGTTTTAACAGAACTTAGCCCTCCCTTACTTATTATATTATATGTTCGCTTAATTTTGATAGTTTATCTTACATATTGAGCAATATGTTATAAAGGCAACCGGAAGTTAAAAATATTTGTACTGGGTATATAGGGACTAGGGATAGTGTTAATTTTCGATTTCAACGAAAATCTTTATACATATATTTGTGACACTGGCACTGAGGTCCATATATTCGGCTTGAATAACTATGATGTGATTATGACCCACTTCACATTTGAAATAGCAGGTTACAAAATCATTATTTATGCAAAGTTTTATCTCAATATATTCATTGGTGCTTGATTTGTGTACTGTAAAGCGGAAGAATCGTACGGAATTTAAAATTTTATTATACGGGAAGGAGGAGCGGCTGTGTTCAAATTTCACCTATTGTCACACCGTTATATAAAAATGCCAGGAATACGAGGTGTTCAGAAAGTATCGCAAATTTTGAATTTTTGCGGGTTACGTATATTCGAATTTCGAATTTCGAATTTTTTGTGGCGTTATGTTGGTACTCATGTCTCTCACTTATGCCGACAAGCTCAGCCATTTTGAATGTTCATTTAATTGTTGACAGCTGCTTTGCTTGCACGTGTTTTGGATCGTCTTCGATTTTTACCTATTCAAAAAAATGGATCAAAGAACCTGTATCAAATTTTGTGTAAAAAACTAAATTAAGTGCACGGATGAATTCCGAATGTTGACTGTGGCATACGGAGAAGCTACCTTGGACCGAAGCAACGTTTATCGGTGGTACAAAATGTTCTCAGAAGGCCGAGAAGATGTGACAAAAATTGGCTTTTGCAACACATTAATGATGCCGCAGCCACCGTATTTCCCAGATCTGGCCCCCTGTGACTTTTTCTTGTTCCCTAAACTGAAGAGGCCCATGAAAGGACGACGTTACGCTTCTCTTGACGAGATAAAGACGGAATCGAAGGAGAAGCTGAAGAAGATAAAAAAAAATGATTTTTTGAAGTGCTTCGAAGATTGGAAAAACCGTCGGCACAAGTGTATAATATCTCATAGGGACTACTTTGAAGGGGACGAAATAGATATTCATTAATAAAGAAATAATTTTTGAAAAAACACAAAATTCGCGATACTTTTTGATCACACCTCGTATGTTAGATACTGAATTTGGTTGAAGCTTGTCGAGTAGGTACTAAGATAGGAGATTTTACCCAAAATAGAATGTGTCAAGCCCAAATTCCATTATTAATACCTTCTCCTATGAAACCCTTTCTGCAACTTATTTATGAAATTTAATGCTAATGGCTCTTTTTTTCAATTAGTTATTGCAACTTTAGAAGTTTTCAGCATAACCGTGATTTGAAGGGCCCGATTTATATCTGATTACACCCATTTTCAGGAGACTATATCGAAAATATTTGTCTTGAGCGACGTAGTCAATTTAACTTGAACGGCTCCAGAGATATGTATATTAAACATTTTAAGGTACATGTCCCGCCAACTTTTTCACAATTTTCTAACCACAGATGACTTTGGCTAAGTCTGCACATCGTAAGTTTACTTATGACACTGTATACGTTTTCGTTCAGAGGCAGTTTTGAGCACTATATGCCAATTAGTTTTGCTTACTACACACAACCGTTAAATGAACAAAACTACACACCCATTATTTGTGAAAACTTTATCAGCTGCATTTTCTACTAGAAACATTCTCAATTTTTGTTAATAAAAATTTTTAACAAAGAATGGTCTGATATTTCAGATAAAAAAGCTTCACTTAATTACACAAACATACACTCACAACAATTTATTAAACGCATACTTAATATGGAAGAGCAGGCAATGTGCTATGGGCGTAAAACACTTTGCCAACTGATAAAATCTCGCAGCGTTTGCCAAATTGATTTCATTCCCCAAGGAGTGGCGTCCAAAATAGAATTCGGCTTAAATACTAAATTGTTTACGTAGAAAAGAAGTATTAAGAATTTGCATTAAATAACGATTAAGTGCGAGGAACTGTTCGTGTATGTATATGAGCTTGTTGTATGTATATGACACGAACAGTTTTTCTAGCTAGCTTTATCGAATTCCTTACTCATTTCATGTCCCACGTACTGCCTTTACAGAACTACGGCAGTGGTATAATCGCAGCAGTTTTCAGAATCAAAATGCAAACGAAGATTTCACAAATTCCAGCGGCGCACATTCGGACCGTTATGGCCAGGATTTCAGCTTGTTCAGCGCCTATGCCAACAACAAAACTTTCATGAACTCGCTGCAGCCAGCTGTGGAAAAGGACGTACTCAACTACACGGAGCCAAAGTACTATCTGGGTGAGTAAGAAACTTTCGCACAATTTCAATAAAAAAATTTTAGTTTTTGATTTCAAATTATTTAATTAAACATAATTGTTATTGTACAAATTCCATTCCGCACACAGGCGATCTCATACCGGGCACATACTGTTCACGCATTTTCAGCGATTGCGACAGGAAAGCATGCCGCCTGCAATCGCCCAACTTCCCTGGCATTTATCCGCGTAATCTGACCTGCTACTACGCCGTTCGACAGGTGAGTGTGTATTGCAAATCGAATATGACATCCGTATACCGAATCCAATATACTCAATTAAAGCAATTAAGCATGCAATTTAGCGTGAAATTCCTAATCAGTACTTCTGATTGGAAGACAAGAGCTTGATGAAGCTATAAAAGCATTTTGATTTACATAATCACTCTCAACGTGTGATGGAACTCCAGCACCAGCATTGCCACATACAAAGCGTCGATGGACGAGCGAACCAATTTGCAGCGAATGCATGGCCATCACCAAGCGAAGCATACAAATTTATTTTAATTCGACTCAGACAGTCATTTTCAATGGATTTCGAGCGCTTTTTTTGTTACCATGGCAAACACAACTTCCAGTGAGAAAAAACGAAGAAAAAATCTTGCCATTTTCGATTTTTTTTTTTTCGAACAAACCTCGAAAGCGTGTTAGCAAACACTTGAAATGCATAGAGAAACCACATTCAAAGAAGAACAAAAGTGCGCACTGCGGCAAGGAGAGTCGGTGCGCGAAAGTCAAACAGCGGAAAAATTGAGCACGGAAATCTCGAAAAGCACTCAATGTAATGAACGCCACTCGGTGCTCTGACTAACGATCAAGAGTGTCAAATAAATGGAAAAGGCACTAAAAGCTAGTGGCCGGCAAGGAAATATTTTTGGAGGCTTAGGCAAGCAGCTATACGAGTAGAATATTTTAACTGAAGTATACAAGAAGAAATTTTAATGAAGGCCTGAAATATTGGGTAGTCGAAAAAGTTTTTTCGTATCTCTAATCAAATTTTAATTTTTTTTTTTATACTATAAAATAAATAAATGATATACATTTGTTTCGGTCAACCACTTTTTGCCATTTTTCTACTAGAAACTACTAAATCGAAATTTCCAGAACGGAAGCGACCGAACCATTGTTATGCTACACGAACTGATACCGCATCGTCTCCGTTAACTTCACAAATTTTAATGGTGGCTTGCGTGACATTTTCCCTTTTTATAAAAAAAAAGTTCCAAATATGGCGAATTTCTTCACTATTTTCACTGATTTTTGTAGAGCTGTAACTTTTTTTCAACTTCCCCAAAATTAATTTTTTTTAGTTAAATGAAGTTGAAAATCTCAAATTTCCAACACTATGTGGCATGGCACAATGTGATTGGCAGCACTTGAGATATACGATTGCAACGACATCTATTGACAAAATACGAAAAGACTTTTTCGACTACCCAATATATTATTAATGTTTTTAGATAAGGCTTGCTAACATGCGAATACTGTAATGAATTTAATAAAATGAAATACTCTGAAATTAAATAACCACTTTTATCCGAATCGGGCCCTTGCACCTTCACAACTAGGCATTAGCCGAGCCTTTTTGTGCACTCTACATATACTATAAGATGACGTATACGCTCAGGTGTGCCAAATTTAATGACCTTTATCAGAGCTTAATTTTATATTTATATCTTTGTCATTTCTTGGCTTCCATTTAATGTTTATATAAATACTTACTCGTATGGCTTACTTGTAAGCTCATTTTGATTCAAAGCAAATAATTTTTTCAAATAATGAGATTGAGGATTATATTCCTCATGTGCTATCCAGCTGTGCCCAATATAGCATCATGGCCAAGTGTTCGCTGCTATTTTCAGTTTACAGTCCAGTAATACCAGGTCAGAGTTAAATGGAACAACACACAGACAGTCATGTTTTTGCTGTTTGCAGAAGATTCTATAATCCCACAGACTTACATGAACGGTCGCACATACAAATTTTCCGTCGGTAAAATAAGGTTATAAGGCCGTTCGTTGTCTGTATTTAACACAAATAGTAAATGAGTGAGTAAATAAACGAATGGGCGCAATGGGCATGTAAAGAAAAGTTTAACGAGTGCTTGACTCCTTTCCAACTTAATGCCGACCAAAGCTCACAATCACATTAGCAGGACATTTTCTTTACTTTCTCCGAAGTGCAGCTCACCTTTGCCTTCGCCTCGTTCGCAGTTGAGTATCTGCGGTGGCATAGCAATGCGCTCCGTTTACTCATGTTCATGTAGAGCGTTAATGAGTTTAGTAAACGTCAGAGTTTTTCTCGCAACTGACACCGTAAAGCAAAATATCTGTCTAAAGATTTGTCTCTTTTTACATATAGTAGGTATAAGTGATGGCTATTGAGTTAGGATGTATTTAATGGAAGTGTAAACAAACGCGCTACAAGTGGCTATAAAGTAAGGAGGACTCTTGTGCAACTCACTCCCAGTGCTATATGATGCCTTGGCAGTATACGTACATATTACACATATGTATATAAAGAGAGATCCATTTCGAGGGTCCCTACTTGTTTAAAGAAAAAACACAGAAACTTCAAATTTAATGGGGAATGTTTAATACCATTCGAGAGAATATTCTTTTGCATTTATTTTCTGAAGATTATCTCTTTCAATTGTTGATCGCGGCTGTATCTCAGATAGTCCATCCGTTGAGTTTAGTTTTCAATGACTCGTTCGAGCATTTCGACTGGTAGCTGAAGAATTACAGACGCGCTCTTTGGCTCCACGGCCCCAATCGAAGCGGCATTGACCGCATAGACTTTAGACTTTATATATATCTCTATATAGCTTTAATTTTAGACATCAAATATTCGGTTATAATGGCGCGATATTGGTCGCCATTGATGCTTACGTTCTTAACGTACATCATTTTTGAAGAAATGTGAATCAATGATTATACCGGCCCACACACCAAGAAATTGCTTCTCTAAATGTAATGGCAGTTCTTGAGTTTTTTCAGATTGCGCTTCTTCGCAAATGCGGTAATTTTGCTCGTTTACATACCCATTGAGCCAGAAATTGGCCTGATCGCTGAACAAAATTTGGTTCGAAAACTACGGAACTTCTTGGAATTTAATTTTTCAAGAGCCCATAGAACGAAGCAATGATGCTTGGGAAGCTATAAGTTTTCAATTTAATATATCGTCCTAAAATATACCAAGTCGTACAATAAGCAGTTCTAATTGCTGCAAACGTCACCAAGTCGACTTTCCTGAGGCTTTGTGTAAAGTTATTTGGTAGTCGGCCGTAAGTCTTTCCATAATGAAATGACTATACTGAACAAAAATTACATTTACCGCGCTACTACCTTTGAATCTAGTACTTACCGCGTCCTTACAACCTGGAAATTGCATGCTTAATGAGTCCTAGAAGTTGTCCGCCCACTCTCCACTACTTTTGTGAATTAGACCGGTTTCTTAAGTCTTGCCATCTCGTGGGTCTTTTGAAATCCAGAATTTTCGTTTAGTCTTGCGCACCAAATTCTTGTAGTCCCTTAGGCGATCTTTATATTCGAGCCAACAATCATCGCTTTCTGTTAGCTTGGCCCAATTGAAACATTCGCGTACTTTGGGTCTGCACGATTCAAACTCCTTGTTTCATCAAAGGGGCCCTTTTTTTTTTTTTATCCTTAAGTCGCAACGTGCGTAATAAAGAGCTGTATTTAAGGCATCCGTAAATACAATCACGCTTTTTTCAAGCTCTTCAAGTGAGTTATATACGGTCGAAGTCTTTTGCCGTGTAGTACCTGGCTGTAGAGATCCCAAATTGTGTTCCTGGGATTTCTCCTGACTTCATTTCTGATATTTGCTTCCAATGAAATGGAGGAGTTAATGTACCTATGGTCAAAGAACGACGGTGTGCTTAACACCCTTCAGTTTTCTATGTCTAGAACCTTTCTGGAAGTGGGCGCTATGTGGGTAGGTTCCTCACCTCGATAGCCAATATAAATATTTTCGAGGGGCCTCTGTATTTATACCACATCTATTGGACAATATGTAAGAAATCTTAATGAAAATCATAGGGGACTGCTTTCTAATAGCAGTGCCGAAATTTAATGAAATCAGGGTTGTATTTTCCCTAGTACTCATATCTCCAGGTGCTCGGAGACAACTGACCAGCCGCTCATTCGTTAGCCTCTCTACCAAATCTAGTCTAGTGCGCGCACCACGCTCTCGGTACAGTCATGGCGAAAGAAAATCAGTCCTTTCCGGACAAACCTTATATATATTGGACAATCTCTAAGGTTTCTTAATGAAGTTTAGATTGCCTCTATTTCTGGCAAGGATATATCATAATACCAAAGCTGGATTATAGTCAAAATATTCCCTATTTTCTTCAATGTGTGACTGGTCGAACTACTCCTTACAATTTTAAGTATTCTGCGAGGAAAAGGTGCAAAGTTTTCCATTTAGAAATCCGTGTTTCGGCATTTTTTGTTATTAACTCCTCAGCAGAGGCGCCCTTCCTTACCAGCTCTCAACCACCAATAAGAACGCCACTCGCTTTAAAAATAACCACAAACAACTTTATAATATTTCTTTTGAAACTGTATAGACCATTACTTTTACTTGTCTACTATACCTGCACATGTTTTATATAAATCTCTCCCATAGTTGAAAGCTTTAAAGAAGTGGAATGTACAAAGCTTTCTAGTTAGCCTCCACTCTCATTTTACTTCTCCTCCGCTTTTTAGCATTTTAATTACATTTCATTGTAATTTTCTTCATTTTACATTTTCCTTTTCAAATTTATCATGTTTCTTTTACTGTCAATTCAATGAGAGCCTTTCAAAGCGCAACATTATTCCGCATCTACTCGCTGTTATCATCTATCATTTTGATGTCATTTCGCTCCTCAAATTGCCTCTTCATTTTATTTGATTAAGTTGCCTGTCATGTCCTTGTCCACACAAGAGTTGGTCGGTTTGTATGGGTGTACTTTGTATGAAAAACAACAAGTACATTAGCGCAACATTCTTAAATTTCCAACAACGATTTAGTCATTAAAAGTAACTTTTGTTGTTGCTTTTTCTTATACTTTTCAGTTCATTTATGTAGGCCTTCCCTCTGATAAGTATATCATTAACTTTCCTCGGTGTGGTCAACCTTCGTCAACGAAAATAACATCAGTTTTGTTCACGATTGGTCAAAGGTAGTGTTATTAAATTAGGTGCATTAACTGACCTTTCCACCTAATTTGATGAAAGGTGTAGCATAGAGATCGTCAAGGTCAAATAAATTTAAGGTAGTATTTTTAGAATAACTTAGCTGGTTTTCTTTTATGCACACCCGCATTCAATGTTTATCTGTTTGGAACTTCTGTTACCACTACACCTATTCACCTAACCATGCTCTCAAGTTCTAGGTAAAGGTATTGAGTGGGCGAATTCTTTAATATTCTTTTAACATTTTCGATTTTTCGATACAAAACCAAATATTAAAATGTGTTTATACTCAGAACAGGATATATTAAGTTGACCACGAAGTTTGTAAGATCCAGAAGAAAGCGTTGGCCACCTTAAGAAATATATACGAGTTTATATTAAATGATCGGCCTGACGAGATGAGTCGATTTAACCATATCCGTCAGTCTTCCCGATTGTATATACACGAACTAGTCGCTCTTTTAGGAGATATCGCTCTGAAATTTTGCAAACATCGTTTTTCCCCAAGAAGCTGCTCGTCTGAATCATCGATATCGGACCGCTATAGCACTACAAACTGGACGATCAAGTTTTTGTATTGGAAACTTTTTAATTGACGAGGTATTTTCAAAAAATTTGGCTTGAATCATTGACTAAACTGTACAATCTCTGGAAAAAGTTTTTAGATCGGACAAGTACCTAAAAAATAAAGGTGTGTTGGTACGATTCTAACATCGATTCACACAAGTTATTGAGATCGTCTGATAGCTTTCTGAGAGCTTCACGGCATTCACTGAATGATTTGTGCTAATCAAATGCATGTATTTGTGATAAAATAGATAACCCAAAATACTTCTGTATAATTTTTCTTCCAAGCTACATAATTTCAAGGGTGCATAATATCATTTGTAATAGCTTTAAGCTTCGCCATATTAGACTTATATGGTAATCCGGTCACAGCGAGATCGCCGACCGACTAGATTACTAGTGACCCATACCCCAATTTCAGTCGATTGATATCGAGTTTGTTTTCCGAAGTGCTCTTGCATTCTAGCGCCCGACCTATAGACCTAGAGTAAGCTCGACAAGCGCAACCATTTCTTGTGCGATTGTGGGCTGAACTTCTTTGTGAAGTAAATCTTCCCTCAATTGTTGGTATTCACTGTTGACACTGTTCACTGACATTGTTCACTATCCAATAGCCGACTAATTACTTTGTCGAGCGATTTGTCTATAATCTGTTTGGAGGAAAACGAGGTGGAGCCGTCTTGTCACTTTCAGCTTCAGCTTTTCAATACTGACAATGAAATATTTTTGTAGACACAACTTTGACGTACCTGCGACTGATATTAACCGCCTCAAAAAATTTGTGGTTAGCACCAAAACGATTTGCCAATCTATGAAGATCTGGTGAGCTCTTGTAAGAGCCTTTGAGTAACACAAATCATGTGAGATCCATCGATTTTGAATCAACATTAGGACTTAAGGTAACCAAGTCGCGATTTCAATGGAAACACAAATTTAAATCAAAGATATTGCGAAACAAACTTTTTGCCATCTGAAGGAAAGGTCGAATCCTTCCGATCTTAATCCTTATTTTCTTGATTTATAAAAATATTTAATATTTCAATGGATTTTTTAAATCATTTTCAATCTTTTTAAAAGTTTATAAAATATTAATATTTTAAGAATTTAAAAAATATGGAGAAGGTCTTTCTCATATGAGTGCAAAAACTTTATCTTCAAGTTATAGTAACACTAAATAAAGGTCTGCAATATGAGTTCAATTTCTTTAGTTTGCAGCATAAATGCGCGTCATATTTCTTTTTTATACATAATTCACGAAATTCTTTGAATCAAACTGCCGTGATGCGCAAAGACAATACTCTCGCACGTCTTTGTACCAACGAGCACCGCCTTTTCAGTTTGCTAAAGGGCAAAATCGCGCTGTTCAACAGCTGGCAAAAACTATTGGAAAAACAGCAGCAGTAATAAAACAGATAAATCACACGCTGATTACGAATTGCTTTCGAAGCACACGAAACTATTTATATTGCAGTCAGCACTTGGACTATCGAATCGCATTGCTGAAATGCCCGCCTCGCTGCAAATCAGTGCGCTTAGACGATTCTGTGTTGGCCGAAGCATCTATCAGGCATTTATGATTTCACGGCGATTCTCTGTTTCTCCTTTCCGCTACAAATGTATGCACATAAATAGCAAGAGCATTAAGGGACTGTTAATACCACTGCACTATTTTGCACAGTTAAAGAGCCACGTTACAGTATTGCTTTAATAAATGTATGGATATCCTTATTAAAGTTGCCAAACCTTATAACCAAAAACTGGCAAATTATTTACACAAAAAGCGCACATGAACATGGCATATTTATCTATGGAACACTGTATTTACGCGAATTTCAATTGTGAACTTATTTTGAACAAAGCAAATAACCTTTCAGGTGCACAAATGAAGTCGTACAGTTTGGAAAAAGCTCAGCTATCATTTAGAGATAAATGGTTTTTCTGCTACGCGCTAACACGACCAAAATATATGGTTAGTTTGTATTGAACAGTGTCGGAGTTTTGCTGTGATAATTTATTTATTTATTTATTGAGTAAAATAAATTGAAATTCCACCAAAAGAATTTTCTGCTGATTATTGAGAAACTTACATACGACTACTCGCTTTTTCGTATGGGTACAAGAGTGTGTTGGAATCATTGCGTGATTTATGACAAGATTCTTTTTGGTCGTGGGAAACCAAATGTGTTTTTGTATGTGTGTGTGAACTTACCAATCAGTAACTCCCTCTAGGAAATGGCAATCATGTCTATTGTGTGTATTGAAATATTCAAATTTATTTAAATTATAAATATACATATTCCTTTGTAGTAAACCATTAATTTAGTAAAATTTCTACTTTTTGCGAAAGCCTTAAAAACGCCTGATAAAATATAATAGATTGCTCAATTTCAATATTAACTTTTATTTAAAAAAATAAACAACATTGGTTGCACGGAAGATAATATATATAATAGCTTTCACAAATATAGTGCGAACCATGTGGAGGCACTAGTCTCAGTCGTGTCAAGCTGTCATGTTATTTTTGTTCGGTATTATTTGGCATTTGAAAGGCTTACTCCTAAACAATGCTTAAAGAGATCCCGCGTTCATTATTGAATAATATTCGACCAAACAAACCACGTCCAGCACGCAGTGAAGAAAATATAGCTGCCGTAGCTGAAAGTGTACACGAAGACCGTTGAGAGTCGATTTGGCACCGTTCGCAGCAACTCGGACTGACGTATGGAACGATTTGGCGCATTCTACGTCGAGATCTTGATTTGAAATCGTACAAAATGGAAGAACTGAAGCTGCTCGACCTTCCCAAGCGACATCGCTTAAAAAGTTCCAAAAACCTTAAAATTATTCAGTTTTATCAAAAAACGCAAGCCTAAGAGACGATCGAGAGATCATTGAAGACATGCTTCGTCGTCCTTCGACCTCCTAAAAGGAATTATTTTTTTCAAAAAGGGTACAAATCATACTTGATCGTGCGTATTCCGATCCCACATTCATGGAGGACATTATAACTGTCGATAAGAGATGGGATTATCAGTTTGACATGCAAACCAGTGAACAATCATCGGAATAGAGGGAAAAAACCGAGCCGAAACGAAAAAATCATTCGTGATTTGGTGCATCATGAAATTGTTGCGGAGGGACAGATGGTCAATAAGCAGTGCGTGATCTATAAAAAAAACAGCCGAAATTGTGGAATAATAATTCATAGTATTTGCACGATAATAAAGCACCATCGCGTTGAGTTACGATTGTGATCGCATTTAAAGCCAAAACGCAATGAATACCATTGATCGAAGACCGTAGTCACCAGATTTGGCTTCATGTGATTTCTTCTTCTTCCCCAAACTGAAATTGTAGCTCCGTGGAACCCCTTTTTTAGTTGATCGAAAAGATAAATGAAAATTCGCTGAAGGAGCTGAAGGCCATTTCAAGTGTGCATTATATCTGGTGGGGATTACTTTGAAGGCGACTAAATAAATATTGATATTGAATACATATTTGCTATTTGTTTAAAATTTCGGGGCACTTTCTTGTCACATTGTATAAATGATCATCATTATGAGCTGAGTTGAACCATGGCACTCTGTCCTCATATATTCGAATCAATTATTAAGTTTTCGAAATATCGTTCTGAAAATTTGCAGACATCATTTACTCCCCAAGAAGCTGCTCATTTGTCGTAACCCTTGATATCGGATCATTATGGTATATAGCTGTCATATAACGATGAGAATCAACTTCTTGTATGGGGAACTTTTTTATTTAACTAGGTATCTACGCGAAGCACTGCTAATTGCCCAAAGTGTCGTTATAATCTCCGAACAAATTTTTTTTAGATCGGAACTCTATTGCACATAGCTATCAAACAAACTGAACGGACAATAACAAATTTTTCAAAAATTTTCTATTTGCCAAAATATCCTCACGAAATTTAGTAAAACAAAATATGATACAAATATTTGAACAAATTTTCCAGTTCTGGTAGCGTATAGAGGCCATATGAACTGAATGATAAACATCAAGGCTTTGAAAGGAAAACTTTTTACTTGTGAAAAGTGCAATAGCTTGACTGCAGCCAAATTAAAAAAAAAACATTAATTAATTAATGAAATATTTATCGAAAATATTTCTCTTAAATGTTACAACAGTGTTGCCATCTAATAAAAAAAATTAATGCCATTATTATGTTTGACTTTCTTTGCAGCATGAGGTGCCTCATGGCAAACATGCAATGATTCTGGTGAGACAATCAAAAGGAAATTTAGTCTGGATATCCACACAAGACACGGGAATCGGCAGCAAGCCACCGCCTAGCACTAGCGAAAAGGAAAAGAAATTTGAGCCGCGCCTGAAAATATGGAGTGAATGCGATAATGTTCAGGTACGAAAATTAATACGAAATTAAGTACACATGGGTTAAAGGATATTTATAAATAAAGTATAGAATATTTTTGTTGCCAGTAAAGTAAGTAATATACCATATCGGTTATCGAAAGATGGAGATCGCAAACTTGAAAAGCGCAAAACTTGTTAAAGCAAACTCAAATTTGGTAAAGAAATTGACTAGCTTCATACTTCAAAGCAAAATTCAAACCATTAGTCAGCGGAAATCTATAAATTATGAGGATGGAGCATCGATTTATGTAAAATGATGATACAGGGTAGGAGTTTATGCAAATTTTTCTACAATATCCGCTCAACTGCAAATCGCAAAAACGCTGAATTATTCTTAAATTTTCAAAAATTGCAAGAACACTATGCCTGGTTGATTTCATTTATACCCCTAAAGCTGTTTCGGGTATTGCGTTCAAAATTATCTTTCCATTTAGCACTTCGGCAGTTTTGTAATGCTTTTCGGTAGCTTCATTAAATGCCAGCGTCAGTTTTTCCCAAAGGATAATCCGTCTTTGCTTTTTGTATTTACACGTTTGCGCTCTCTCCAGCGCCAGCGCAGCCATTTGAAAAGATTTTTCTAGCACAGAATTTTGCTTTCACTTGTTCTGCTTTTTTTTTCTTTAAAATAAAAAGAAGTTTCTGCATTTTGCGTTATAATTAAAGAAATACCAAAAGGATATTATTCAAGCTACTCAACCAAAGGCGAGCGCTGGTAGCAAAGCGTAGAAAAATTGAGAATTTTCATTAAACTTGAGGAAAACAGAAACAAAATACCAGTCGGCAGTGAAATCTGCTTTACTTTCCTTCTTCGTACCTCCGTACACTCTTTCGTAAACTACATTGCATACATATTCGTGCATACAAATGTGAAGCATCGTAAATTTGCCGTTATTTAATTATGCGAGCACGTTGTTGTGCGCCACTTTGAAGCATTTTCATACGCTGCACACGAAATTTAATAAAAGTGTCGACCAAAAATTTCAATCACGAAATTATTGAATAACATATTAATGGTTGCGACGCGGCAAAACAAAGTGGAACTGGTGCGCAGATGCTCAAGTACTCTGTACAAATATTGGTGAACATATGCAGCAGGTTGTTAGCAGAACTGCGGTGTCTTTTTACATTTTCTTGTATGCAAAATACACTGGAAACTGTCAATGGAGACTATTAAAAGAAAATTCGTTCATCAAAATATACAAAAGTGGACGTGACCTTAAGGTCACAAAATATGTAGGATAAAGAGAATTATGCCATAAGCGATACTCACAAAATAAATTTTAAATGTTCACATTGTATAAGCTATCTACGATGCTAATATTTATTTTAGATTTAGCAAGGTAATAATTTTTTGGAGTTTATGAGCAGTTACCCAATTAAATCTCTAAGTTTGCCTTCAGAAAATAAAACCTACTTTATTAAGGCTTAAAACCAAAATATTTTTAAATGCATACACAAATATTCCAGAAAACACTACTAAGCTTTAATATAGACTAAATAGCGGTAACTGATTGGTGCTGATTTTCACATAGTACTTATTTTACAACTATCATCTAGCTGAGCTTATACCAATTATTAACTTTACGTGTTGAAGGTTGTTTTTTCAGACATATGGTTTTCAAGATGACTTAAAATTTATACAATTTAGTATTCTGACCAATAATTTGGCTTTAATATAAAATAAGGGCTTGCCTTTAGAAATGATTTCAAGCAATTGGTCGACAAGAGGTGCAGCAATTAGAATCATATGGCAACTATACGCGTCGAATATTTTCTTGCAAAGCGTCAATCATGTCGAAGTTACTGCTTAGACAAGTTGCGTAACAAAGATAATTATAATATATAGAAAATAATTGGGGTTTTGCACTGCGGCCTATAGTCTATTGTGCCCTCTCCTATATAAAGGTCCAGCACTCTGAATAATTCTAAGAACTTGCTGGGCGCGCTGGAGATGATGTGATCCCTGTCCACCTAGATGGATTCTGAGCCTTGAGTCTGTTTCTATACATAACTGTACAATTTAAAATCAGTTGTTCTGTAGTTCCCGGTTCCACAAAACCGGCAGTGTGCGCAAGAGACTATGCCCATGATTCTTGAGCCTGCAATGCACAGTATAAAGCGTGGCATGAAGACGGAATTTGCCTTGGTGAGGGTTGATCATACAAGGTGTGTTCCAAAGTAAACAGGACTTAAAAACAAAACATAACATATGGTGGCAAAGACAATTTATTTTATTCAAAATATTCTCCTTTTGCTCCATATAGCTTTTTGCACGGTGTAAAAACATGTGGAACGAGTGTTTTAGCTCGTTGGCCGGTATGGCCGCCAATATGCCGGCGCAAGCCTTTTGAATGACTTTTACGTCTGCATAACGCTTTCCTTTTATAGGAAAATGCATTCTTCAGAAAAGGAAGAAGTCGCACGGTGTCATATCAGGTGAATACGGGGAGTGGTTAATGGTTAAAATGTGATTTTTGATCAAATAATCATCTTTCGTTGGATTTTAATCTATTTTTAGTCGTCAGTCAATTTGTGCGGAACAAACCATAAGCCCAAATGTTGGGTCAAAATACGGTAAATCGATGTTTTGGATTTGTTCTATTCCATTTCCATGAATTTCAATGATGATTTCGGTAAATTTTTGATGAATTCACGCACTCGTACACTCTGCAACGGGATAGGCAATCATCGTCATAAACTTGTTTCATCAATTGAAACGTTTCGGTAAAAGTTTTACCAATTTTAAAACAAAATTTAATGTTGGCTCTTTGTTCGAAGCTCATTTTTGCACCGATAACCCAAACATACTGACACTTAAAACGCAATAAATTCACTTCAAATCAATGAAATGTCGTGAATTTGTCTCACTGGACAATCGATAAAGATAGCAGATTCTAACGCACCAGTCGACATATAGATGGCGCCACCAGGGCGCGCTCGATTCAAGAAATTCTGTTTACTTTGAAAGGTACCTTTTATCTTTAAACTTTTCTAGGTTTTACCATCCCAATGGTAACTTGGCGTGGCGCATTCCTGTTGCCTGTTGCCACATTCGTTCCCAGCTCTCTAACATTTGCGAAGCAAATCGTTTCTGGTGTGAAACCCCACCGCAATGCATTTTTCTGGCCCCATCATCCTGAAAGCCGCCGCAAAGCGGGCTAGTTCGTCAGCCAGCTCATTGCTGGCTACCCCTATATGCCCGGCACCTAGATCAGGTGTACACTGTTACAAACTGATAAGCGGTTCATCTTTCCCATACACTCCTCTCCTAATGGCGATTTTACTGCATAAGTGAAATCGATTTTAGTGCCGCTTGATAATCGCTGAGTATAGTGATATGGTGGTTGCGTTGAAGACTTCTGCTCACTAACTTATAGCAAAAGTTTCTGCTTTAAATATGTGCGGAAAATATCACATTACTATGGATATTTTGGTATCCAGTTCCGCAATGCCTGCTGTAATTGCTTCCGATATTTCCAAGCCATCAGTGTATCACTGGATTGTTCAGCTCCTCAGTAATAGGTCGCGCGTGGAATCACCCCACTCCCTCTTGCTGCTGAGAGTAACATTAAACCTCTTTGTGAAGTTTATGCTCTTCGTAACGCCTTCTTTTGGAAGAAGGGATAGTGGTTTGTCTTTCATTAAGGTCTTCATTTGTAGAGACGACATTATCTTCCCATTGCCAAAATAAATGCAGCGTTGTGAGTTCCAGCACTTGAATTCAAGTGTTGCAGTTGGGCAAGTAGGCATTGCCCTGAAGCGCAAATGCAGACGAGTCTTTGCAGCTTTGATAGTTGAAGGTCTACCGGAAACTGTGATGCCCTCGATGTCCAAGCAACCGCTCCAAAAGTGACAACAGTCGTTACGATCATGATGATACTTGGTTTGCAGGATCTATCAGCTGGGTCCACCTACCTGCCGCTAAGCGGGGGCCTCAAGCTCAAAAGAAATTTTCGCTTTGTAAATGTGACGACGGTTGTTTTTGGCGAGTTGATATTAAATCCAATTTATAGCACCATCCCTCTGATATCTCGTGCAATTATGACCTGGCACCAAACCCAATACGATTGCTTGTGAGCAACTCAAGCTGCTCATAGTAGAGGTGAACCGAACAAAATCCGAGAGCTAGGCTAATTCAGTACAGCCTCTATCCTTCTGCATACTGGAGCCGCCACATTCCTTTTGTCCAGTGAGTTGATGGCATTTGCGTGGTACGCATTATCAAATGCACCTTCGATGAGAGGAAAGTCGCTGCTTCAGATAAGCCCACAAAAATTAGTTCAGCGGTGTTAAATCTCACACACAAGTCGAGATAACACGCTCATCAAAAGTTTTCTTCAAAAAAATTGATTGTTTTCGTTGGTAGCGCCATCTTCTTGGAATCAAAGGTCCTCCACATTAACATCCTCTTAGTCAGGCACGAAAAAGTTATAAATTATGGCTGTATAGCGCTCCCCATTAACATTATGGCCAGCTACATTTTTGAAAAAATATCGATCAATGATTCCCTTTGCTCGTAAAGTAGACCAAATGGTGACTTTTTGAGGATGTAATGGCATGTCATCACTCCAAATGCGAAAATTTTTATTTGGCATTGTTCTAAATATATCTTTTCATTATGAAGAGGCAAACCAAACGGAGTATAATGTATGTTATAGCCAAATCTGAAAAAGTATTGCCTCATTGAAAACCACGTGTCTAGAAAACCCATCAGTTAGAAGTTACAAAACGAAAAATTGACAAACACCTATAGTCTCTGTTTGTTAGTATGCAAGAATTTTATTGTCTTAATGACGATTAGAAAGCATGATATACTCGTATTCGAACAAAGGCTGCTGTACTACGGCGAAGAAATCTTCGTTATGTTATGAAATCAAATTATTACATCTTTAAGAACTGTTTTTTTTTTTGAACTTTTAAAAGAAGAAAAACCACTCGTGGGTACATACTATACTTAGTTTAGTAATTTTCTACTTAAATAACACCCTACCAGTCTACAGCGAGTACCACAGCATGTTACTCATACGCTACGTCTGCCACTAAACAAATAACTCATAACCATTAAACGACAATTTTCAACTAAATATTTTCACACATTTTAATGTTATGCTCAATTAGGACCACTTGAGGCCCAAATGGAAGTCAACGGTAAGCAAGAAACTGCATAGTCTACATATCGAAGACACTCTTAAGTAGCACCTGTAGAATAGCGCTGTAAACAACAAAAATCAAGATTAATACAAATGTTTTTACTAAACACTAAATACACAATAAGCGAAATTTAAGTAAAAGCTAGCTTTACTCTCTCCTATATTGTTGTACAATGACCTAAGTAACACTATATCCTAAATCCTATCTTCGATGTACTGCCTCCGCACACACTCCACTTCTCTTTATTCACTTTATTTACGTATGTAGTTGTGCACATGCAACACCGAAATAGTATTTATTGCAATTACTCATTAAACATACATATACAAATGTAAACAGTGAAGGCTCGTTAACATGAATATTAATACAATAGAAAAGTAGTTATTCTCAGAAATTCGATATAAATCTTATAACCAAAACACAATTATTTTTAAAGCTAACTACTACTTCTCTTCAATCGCATGCAAATAAATAAAGGTCCGCTTTCTATTTAGCTGTAATTAATCAATAAAAGCATTTAATTACATGACACCTGATTGCCGCCAACACGCCACACCCCTCCATTTAAACATTTAAGAATTCGATGCGGGTGGTCGAACCACCCCTAATTAAATATGCCTGTCGCATACGTACCACAAAATGCCAGCAAGTGTAACCGAATACTACGAGTGATGTAAGAGTATTTAAAGCGCATCGATTAGTTGAAGACCGCTCAAGTTCAGTGACATTAGCAACAGTTGTTAATGCATTCGGAAAATGTCATTATACATATATTATACCAGCAAATGCATTTGCTAAATGTAACTTAGTACTTAATTACTAATTAATTAAGCAAGACTAAACTAAAATGAATAATTAATTTTAATTAGTAAGTAATTGGTTTATTCAATTAATATTTAAAATTAATTAAATTAAATTTAAATTAATTAAGTAATGAATTAATTACGTACTAATTAATAACCAACATTTAGTACTACGAAATAAAATTTAAGTAATTTTAGTCGTAGTACTAAATATTTTGAAAAAAAAGTTGTATGCTCATGGGAAATTGGAAAAATTACAATGAAAACACTAAATTTTTATATACATACTAACAACATTTAAGAGACTCACATTGTGTTAAGTTAGGTAAAGAGGGTGTTTTCTAGTGAGGTCACAAATGAGTCCACTTTTACAGCCAGAAACGATTGTCGCATATCGACAAAACGCCATGAGCATGCCACAGATTTATTAATACAGCCAATACCAATCCCAGCCAATTCACAGAGTCCACAAAAGCTATGGCAACCGAGATGTTTCAAGCTTGGTCTGGTGAAAGCTAAACAGTGGAGAGCAAAGAATTTAGTTGTTTCTAACGCTCGTTCCCATCCTGATAGAATTTGATTATGGATACATTTATTTTAAGCTCATCTTTTCTCCAATTTTCGACGATACCGCCGTCAACCAGACAAGTTGAATATGAAAGTATCTGGATGCTACTGCTAGGGAGGACATGCACTCCTTAACTAGCTTTGAACTCACAGTCCGCGAGCTGAAAATTTCTATAGCAACTCTTCTATCAGAGTGGACTCCTCTCAAAGAAGCCGCACTTGGGAGAAGTACATCTGCTGCTTCCTTGATGACTGCCACTTCTGCTTAAAAGACACTACAATGGTTTAGCAGTCTGAAACAATAATTGATTGAGAGCTCAAGACAGAAGACTCCCCATCAACCTAGCTCTTGAACTTCGACCTATCCGTAAAAAGCCTCACTGCGTTTTTTCTCCAGCGACGCCGTCCACACCCATATATCTCTCAGAGGTATGTGCTAGGAAAAGATGCCGCTGGAAATAAGTTCCGCGGCGCAGAAAGCCATGTAATCAGATGTGGTCAAGGTGTGAGCAACCCTTGATGTGTCCAGTTGCACAGAATCTAATAGCAACCTAGAATGGCATAAAGTGCCATTGTTGGCCTAGTATTCAGTACACCAATGAGAGACTCCTTTACGAGCACAATCTACGAGATAAATACACTATAGCACAGTATTGGCTTAACTGCGGTTTCGCAAAGCCAAGGCATAACTTTTGGTGAGACCCATCTTGCTTTCAGAACAAGTTGCTATATGTGAGGTTTTGCATTTTTTGAAAGCTGGATAGAAGAAGAGGTGCTACAGCGCATGAACCATCACCTCAATCAGACAAACTTTGGGCAATTTGGTCACATTAAACTACTTTCAAAATATTTATTTTATTCATACTCATCTATATGACACGGAGTGTAAAATGTTTATATGTTTTACCGGATATAATTATGGTGATTTCCGCCTAAGTTTCAATAATTCGGTAGGAATAGCTACTATGCAATCTAATGTGGAGCAAGTTTCTTTGCTCTTAATAGGTCAGGTTAGATAATTTTTGAAAGCAAAAAAAAAAACTGAGTTAGTGAAGAGGAAGTAGAGGGGCATGGTTAATTTTTTAAGAATTAAAAGCATTTTAATTCGATTCTCGGCAAAGAGTTCTATAGAGAATTTTATAACAAAGTTGAAGGAAATGAAAATATCTACTGCCTTTATATTAACACCAGATTAAGAAGGTTGCAGAAAATGTCTAGAACAGGGCACCAGGGAAACAATGGATGCTCGCATTGGCTAGACTGTGCTGTATGCATTTGGACTTCCCACGGTATGACACACTGGAGGAGGTATTGATTGTGAGGCCGCAGAATCTGTTAAAATGCGCGTCAGGCATTCTAAAGGATGACTTCCCTTCTTGAAGCAGCTAGACTTCATCTGGTATCGCAAAGGACCAAACTGGTCTATGCTTATTGGCCTACCAGATTAACCTAACCCTTATACCAACAATTGAACTGAGTCTTTATTATTACTTGTATTTTAAAATATTAGTTTTCCACCTTATTTTGACTTCATACAGAAAAAAAAATTTTTTTTAATTCCTACGAGAAAATATCTAATGTTTTAGTGGGTGAGTTTTTTTTTTGTTTATGTTAAAATTTTTGATTGTATAAAAATTATATATGTACTTTACTATGGTAGGTTTTCTCAGAAAATGAAAAAAAAATAACATTTTCAACCCTGAATCTTTTACTGCTGCTACTATGAAATACACGTAGCAGGTAGATGAAATAAAGAATCTTCACTAACAGTTCAGTTATTCAGATATTTTTGATAAAAAGTTAGCCATAAGCACTGAGGTTCACATTTTCGCTATCTGTCATCTTATAGTTCGATACGCTCCTTAACCTCTTGGAGATCGGTCTCACAAACACTTTTTATAGTTATCTGGGTCTCTCCCTGCCCCTCTCTATAACGATACCTTGTAACAAATAACGATTTAGTATCATAGTTGAAACTTAGTTATAGCTCTTTAGATGTTTTTGCTTAACGGCACTTTGTTGGCGTGGCTACGGAGCGATTCTGCCCACCTGCAATGCCAACCCAAGTACACCGTGTCGTATGAGCAACACAGAGTTTGTAAACAATTGTATGCATATTTTTATGCAAATAAAGAAGACTTTTCCTTAAAGCGGTAAATTTTATATTGGATTTTTTTTATTTTTATTTTTTTTTTTTTTTTTKWATWTTTGAGATAAAAAATTCTTCGAAAAAATCAAAAAATCCCATATTAAATAGATGGGAAAAGAAAAATTATTTATATAAAATAAAGTGCTTATTTATGTTGGATCATTTTTTAGAGCAAAAACTGAAACTTCAGTGTACACAAAAAAAGTCGACCAGCGAAATAACGGACATCCTAATGTATAGTATGTACATATACACATTCTTTTAAAATTCTAATCTTCGCACTTCGGGTTAAATAGAATCTCCAACAGCTGGGCATGTGGGGGTCAATTACCGGTATAAGCTTAAATCGCCAACATGCATACAAAAAAAAACCTTACAAACATCCACATATGCTTCCCATATGCATGTTCGGACATTTACATGCGCTGCTTTATGCCGGGGCGCGCAAGTTTGCTGCAATAAGTGTGCACGGCACATGTGTAAATCAAACCGAATATGCATATCATACGAATATACATATGTGTTAATTCATGCTCTCAAAAATACATAACCAAACATACATACATACATTCCATACATACATTACATACATATAGTATATTCCAGATGTGCAAACAAAGTAGTGTTGATCCGCTTAAAGCTGCGCCGTGCCAACGCGCTCAAAGGCCAGCTGGTCGAATCGGATGTGCTGCGGGTGCTTGGGTGTATCCACCGCGAATCTTAAGCACGCTAATTCATCATATTCATGAGCACCATTTGGCCCTGAGTGGCGTCCAACAGCGTTCCTGCAGTTTGGTCAGCAACAGCGTTGGCATTTTCGCACGTCCTCTCGTTTCAATTTTTTCGGCAGTGCTACCAGTTTGCTTTCTTCTTCCTGTTAGCTATGTTGCTAACAGATTTATTTTGTTTGGGCGAAAGTTTTCCCATCGTTTGCACACTTTTTGTAGCTGCCAAGTTTCGTTGCTCTTTTACCGGCCGTTTTCCCCGGTAGTTTTTTGAGTTGGTAAAGTTTGCATTCCAACGAGGCGTATTAGCATCATAATGGGAGCGCGTGTCTTGCCGCTAAGTGTCGAGGGCAACGTGTTTACTTTCCCACTTAATGGCTTCGCTGCACACCAACAATCCTTTTAGGGCTGCTTTCGTTTGCCATTTTACTTATTTAATCCGCGATTTTATTTCTCTTAGCAGCTTTTCATTTCAATTTTTATACATAATCTTCCGCTTTTTTTTCTTGTTTTGTCACTCTAAGGCTCACTGAACTAAGTGCTTCCGCTTATAGCCCTCAACACACCAACTTTTACAGTTTTACGTGTACATAAGATTACCATTTCTCCGCGAACTGGACGTAAAACTGTTTGAGGGGGTGAATAAAAAAGTTGTATTCATAGATCCGTTGGTTAAGAACGAGTTTAAGCTAAAAAAAATTTGTCTAAACAGCAAACAGTTATTGCTATCGGACTGCTCAAACTCAAATCCTT